CCTCACTGGATCTCCTGTGATGGGGAGGTGCCCTTCAGACTCCAGGGAATATAGTGGGTGTGATTCCTCCCCAACAAAGCCACATGACCAAATTTGTCCTGGATTTTATGCTAGCCTTAGCAGGGCAGAGCCCCTAGTAGTCAGGCAGGTGGGGACTCCAAAGCCTGGAAGCCAGGAGGGTGTTTGTATTAGATCTTCCACAATGGGGAAATGCCAGTCTGGTTCATGGCAAAGTGTGGGTAGGCCCTGCTCCAAAGCCAGTTTCTGGCATTCCTTTAGTGTTCCCACTGCTATGCCCAGGCTATGCCTCTGACTCCTCCATAGGGCTTAAGATCCACCAAGTGGGGTAAATAGGTTCCAGAGGGTGGGGTAATTGCTTTCCTCCAGGCCAGTGCCACTTCCAGGGGGTTGCTCTGCCCAGGGAAGGTGGCTCCTGTGGTATCTGAGTATGACTCAACACTGGGATCTTGTGGTGATTTCCCCACATTTATCCCTAGAGCCATAGTCTCCAGACTTCCCTCAAGTGAGTCCAGTCCCTCTGCCCTCCCTCCACTGGAGCCCACGGTGAGTAGCTGTGAGCAAAATTGTGTACATTGGCACTTTAAGAGGGTGTCTGTATCTCCAGCAGACTCCTTGGCAGACAGAAACCCTGATCACTTTTCATAGTTGGCTATGTGCTTGCCTTTTCCTGGCTTTGGTGCTTTGGGCTGGGCAGCCTTACCCAGGGTTTAAGTCCCATGCTGCTCAGGGGCTGAGATATCCCTCTGGCACCTCAGCCCCAATCTGCCTGTGGGGGTGGGGCCAGCCCTTTCTGTGTCACTGCCCATGTCAGAAGCCAGTCTGCGGCTTCTTCTACAAACCCTAAGGCTCCTCTTCAGCTAGTCTTCAGTTGGTTTTCTGGTGTGATTGTGTCCCATTTAGTTGTATTTCCAATTTGGTCCTGGGAGGAGGTGTGTTCAGTATCTGCCTACTCCACCGCCATGTTAAAAAGCCTTTACTTCTGAAGTGTGGTTTTGTTATTTAACAAGTTTAAATAGCTGACTTGAAGTATTTGTTTGCTGATTTTGACAATTGAGCCCTCTGGAGGGCAGGTTCTGTTGCCACCTTTTCTTCCTGTGTATGGTAACTCTTTTTTGTTTATTTTCATATATCATAAATTTTTGTTGGAAACTGGACATTTTACATAATATTTTTGAAGCAATTCTGGATGCTGATCTCCCTAGTCCCACACCTGGGCCTTGTTGGTTTGGGCATGTTTATTTGTTTAGTCTTGGCGGGACTATTTCAGTGAGGTCTAACCCATATAGTTAGTGTGAAACTTCTGATGTCATTCCTTCTCGGGCACAACCTTGGGTATGTGTACAGTTACCCTGTGACAGTGGCTTTAGAAGGTCTCTCTGACTATTTCTCTGATCTCTGGGGCTGCCTACCTCTGTTGGTATCACAACCAGCTGGTAGTCTCCACTAATTGCTAGGTGATTGCTCTGTTGTTTTTGACAGTACATTGTTGTAGCATAAATTGTTTCACAGTCTTGTTTAATTGAATTCTGGCCCTTTTACAGAAGTAATCTCTGAAGGCAGTCTTCTTTGAACCTTGTTTAACCATAGGAGGTCTCTTCTTTCCAGTATCTTTCCCTGGTTCTCTCTGTTAAATTTAGATGGTCTATTTGTTGGTTTGTTCCTCTCAGGGAGATACCAGCCTCCCTTTACTTTCTTGCCTTCACAGCCTTCATTGTTTTGGACAGCACCCTTAGGTGTGAACTTCCCCATGATTTGTTTCAAATAAAGTCAGTTTCCTTGGGGAGAGTTTCTGAATTCTCTGTTCTCTGCCTCCTTCTGCCCTTGGGGAAATCCTGTTCCCAGTATTCCAGAGCTAGATAGGAGGGCAGCGGCCCCTTCCTCTTAAGAATGATGCCCCTGCTTTGTGAGTTGGATGCTGGATAGAGATGGAAGCCTCTGCCCTCCTTGGCTTGTCTCTATTGGTATGGGACCTCTGCCCTTAGTGGCGGGTGAACTGTGTTGAGGGCACTGCGGGTCCTAGTGTTTGATTGCTGGTCCACATTAGAGCTTCCATTCTCTGAGAAGGGGCTGGTGCAGGAGACACAGTTCTTTTTCACTGAGAAATAGTGATATTCTTGTATAAATTGTCCTCAGGACAGTTTTCAGAGACTGGAAATAGTTGCTTTTTAAAAAACAGTTGTCACCAGGCATGGCTGTCGCCCAGGGGACCAAGCCTGTGGTGCGCCTCACACTGCACACTGCTCGTCTGGCAGTCACTCTTCTTCTAACTGCTTTTCATCCAAGTCATGAGAAGTGGGGACACTTTTTGAAAACTGCTTGCCTGAATGTCTATTTCTAATTCTCCTTTATAAATAAATTTAAATTTCATAGAGCTTGTAAGTTCTAAATGAATATATAATTTAAGTCCGTATTTACGGATGTGAATATGGACTAGGTATTTTTCCTTAATTTTTAGGCATAAAATTTATCTTTGATGATTTTTATACTCTTTTCTTTCTTCCACATGAATTTTATCATTATTTGAAATTATGAATTTATTTTTCTAATCATGAAATTTCAGTTTCTGAAAATAAAAACTATTGATAGTAGGAAAAACTTAAGCCCTTAGGGGGAAAAAAAACCCAAGGTCACTGACTCTTAAAATACCACCCTGGTGGGCATGGCTAAGTTGGTTGGAATGTCCCATGGATGGAAGGGTTATGGGTTTGATTCCTGGTTAGGTCACATACCTAGCTTCTGGGTTAAATCCAGTTGGGGGATGTATGAGAGGCAGTCAAGAGCTGTTTCTTTCTCACATCAATCTTTATCTCACTCTCCTCATTCTCTCTCTTCTTTCTCTCTAAAAGTGATTTAAAAAAAAGTCCTTGTGTGAGGGTATATATATCCTCAATATATATATATTGGGTTGGCCAAAAAGTTCATTTTTTTAAAGATGGTTCTAGTAGGGATAAGTTGTCTTTAACTTCATTCGAAACAATTTTATTAGACTGTATTATGACAGCCATATCAGTATGCATTTAAAAATACTTACCAAACTTGGTGAATTTTTGTGTAGCCATTTTAATACTGAAGGTAAAAGAAAATACACAAGATTGCTGACATAGCATGCTTTATTATTTCAAGTAAGGTAAAGCCGTGGCTGGTGTGGTTTAGTGTATTGAGTGCTGGTCTGTGAACCAAAAGGTCACTAGTTCGATTTCCAGTCAGGGCACATGCCTAGGTTGTGGGCCAGGTCCCCGGTTAGGGGTATAGAGGCAACCAATCAATGTTTCTCTCTCACATTGATGTTTCTGTCCCTCTCTTCCTTCCTCCCTTCTCCTCTCTCTAAAAATAAATAATCTTTAAAAGCAAAAGAAAGGTAAAAATGCAACTGAAACACACAAAAAAAATTGTGCCATGTATGGAGAAGATTCTGTGACTGATCAAACTTGTCAGAAATGGTTTACAAAGTTTCGTCCTGAAGAGTTCTCACTGGACAGCGCTCCACCGGTTGGGTAGACCATTTGAAGTTGGTAGCAATCAAATAGAGAGATTAATTGAGAACAATCAACAGTATACCATGCAGGAGATAGCCGACATACTCAAAATATCCACATAAATACAATTGTTGATGAAAAAGAAAAATGTGTCTTTTATTTTGCAGAAAAAACATACAGACTTTTTGGCTGGCCCAATATACTGTTTGTGTACACACACACAACCCCCCCCCCCCATAGCCATCTTTAAATACTTTCATATCTATTAAAATAAAATCATAGAGATATTACATTAAGCAAAGAGAATTGTCTGTCATTTTGTACATCTTCTGTGACAATAGGAACTGTTTAATTAATTTCCACTGATTGATCACTTGTCTCCTGGAAGGTTTTTATGAATTCACTTTCCTGCTGTTAAGTTTGTTGTGCTTTAGATGGGTCCTAAGAGGCAGTTGTTTTTTTGTGTCTGGGTCAGAGTCTCTCCTTTAAATTTATGATTTATGTTGTTAACTCCCACCTCCATTCTCTGGTCTCAGAAATACAATGTTCTTCAGATGCTTGAGTGTGAAAATGATTTGGACAACTTTTATTGATTCTGCTTAGTTTGGTGGTTGGGGGATTTTTCACCTTCTCTTCATTTAGCCCAAATTCAGCCCATTAGGCCCCTTTGATACCTGTCCTACCTCCCTTTCTTCCTGACAGTTGTAAGGGTGCAATTCTAAGGCATAAAAGTACTTTAACAGTAAAAATGTAATTGTCTACATCCTTCTATAGCTCTGTTGCTGTGGAGACTCCTGATCTCCTTTCAGCATTACCTCACATTTTATTTTATTTTTTAATACTCACCCAAGGACATGTCCATTGATTTTAGAGAGAGAGGAAGGGTGAGAGAGAAAGAGAGAAACATTGATGTGAGAAACATCGATTGGTTGCCTTCTGTATGCTCCCTGACCGGGAATCAAACCAACAATCTTTTAGTGTCCTGGACAATACTCCAACCAACTGAGCCACCTGGCGAGGGCTTCCTCACATTTTTATTCCCTGTTCTTGGTTTCCACTTTTTCAAATTACCTTTAACAGGAGTGACTACAGTTTATGTATTTTAAAAGTATACAGAGGTGACTAAATACTAGGCTTTTCTGTGAAGAAGATTCACAGCAATGAAGAGATGACCATAAAATAGTTTTAATGGATATCTATCTTGAATGCTTATAAAAAATAAAGAAACCTAGTGTACTTACCTGACAGGGAAGATACCATGATAATGAAGGTGATTTTCCCAGGGTGAGGTTCAACCATTGCACTCCAGGTGTGCTGACCCCTGCGCTTTCCCCAAATGTGGGAAACTTGACTGTATGATTTGTCGTGGTGGGGGGTTGTACTTATACTCTCCCCTGGGGGAAAAAAAAGAAACCTAGTATAAAAGTAAAGGTCTCCCTATAATCCCACCCTGAATATAAACACTATAAAAGTAATGTAACATTCTGTAACTTTTTGTGGCAGCCCCTGCAGGAGCCCATGGTGTGGTCCTGGCACCTCCAGTGGGAACAGCACCAAGTTCTAGGGCTGTCCTGTTCACAGTTGGGTCTCCTCCACACAGTGCCACAGCCCTGCCCTGTGCCCATGTGGTGCTCCGAGCAAGAACAACCTCAGGTGAGAGTGCTGTCCTGCAGTCTTTGGCTAGTGTTTGGGATAATTGATAGTGACTTAATGAGGCAACTTAGATAAGTCACTTAACCTCTCTGGAATTCATTTCCTTTTTCCAAATGACATGGAAATAACTATTTTTCTTTACCTTAAAGGGTTTTAAGGAGTAAATAAGGCAATATTTGTAGAAGAAAAGACCTTCATGAAATAAAAGTACTACATTATATATTATAATAATATATATTATTACAGTTCAGTATAAATGTGACTTTTTGATGATGAAGCAGGTATGCATATATAGTGCTTCCTGACTTATATTGAAGGCTTATTTTAATACATCCAGTAAAGTTTTTGAAAATGATAGATTGTTTATCTTTGCACTTAATCATATACACATTTAGACAAGCTAATAGATTGGATTTTATCATTCATACTCTATAAATAAGTTATTAATACCAAAACCCAATGAGGTATCATTTGACATTACTTTATTTGTTTTTACTTGTGTTCTTGAAGTTTTTTTATGCTAAATAAGTTACTAATCAAGATTAGTAGATTAGTAAGCAAAGGATATGAATAGATAATGAGAGGAAATAGAGCTAATAATCTTGTTTTCAAGATATTAAAATTAAAAGTATTAATAAGAATATGCCATTTTAAGAAAGTAACATTTTATACCTTTTAACTAAACCAATATTTAAAACAACATAATGTTCAATGTTGAGGTTTAGTGAGGTCTCTGTGCTCACTCACAGCTGCTTTAGAAAGTGGTGGCAGTTCTTACAAAGAGCTGTTAAAAATGTTTATGATATTTGGTCTGTGGTAATCACATTCCTGTTCATAATACCACTTTGGAGTAGTAACCACAAATAAATCATTCAAAAAGTGGAAAAACTTTGGATTTTATTGTAGTGTTATTTATTTTATATATAAAAAACAAATAGTATAAATGCTTTCAGATAAGCATTATGTATTTAAATTTAGTGAACCACTATTGCATCTACTGAGTTTTATAATTATAAGGACTATGTAGAAAGAGGGAAATTATTATGCTATAAGTTTGTTTAAAACAGAATATTTAAAAACTGGCTGTAATGATGTTTATAAAATAGACATATAGACAGGAATAAAGGTGAACATGGCAAAATAAAACCTGTGCATATGTTCAGATAGGAGATCAGTGGCTTTCCTTTTAATATTCCCTTGTTCCTTTTATAGTATGAGTGGGCAGGGTGGCCCCTTGCCCTGAGCACTCACTCTGGGCCCCATGCCACTTTATCCTGTTTCCTTGCAGCGGGCTCCAGCAGCTCTGGAGGCTCCTTGTGTTCCACAAGTGGCCGAGTGTGTGTGGGCTCCCCGCCTGGGCCGTGCTGGGGCTCTTCGCCTCCAGGAGCAGAGGCAGCTCCAAGCCTGAGATACATGCCTTATGGTGCTTCACCCCCCAGCCTAGAGGGGCTCGTCACTTTTGAAGCCCCTGAACTGCCAGAGGAAACGCTGATGGAGGTAGAGGAGACACTGTTATGACATATTGTAATCTTGATACAGTAGGAGAACTTTCTAGTGATGGTGAAAGAGCAAAATGCTGTCAGAAGTTCTGAAGTCCTTCTCTTCAATGTACTTTTTCTTTTTATTTGAAAAACATTGCTGATATATTTTCAAAACAATGCTGGCCATGACACTCATCCCTGACAAACTCTGGTTGATAGGAAGTAACACATAGATTTTGTGTTCTTATTTTGTCTAAACATTTTATTTATTTATTTTTAGACAGAGGGGGAGGAAGGGAGAAAGAGAGGGAGAAAAACATCAATGTGTGGTTGCCTCTCATGCGCCCCCTACTGGGGAGCTGGCCAAAACCCAGGTGTGTGCCCTGACTGGGAATTGAACCAGTGACCCTTTGGTTCATAGTCTGGCACTCAGTCCATTGAGACACACCAGCCAGGGCTTTTGCTCTTAATGTTTTAATCTGAAGTTCATTTATTACTTACAGGACTTTTGAAGCATAATCTTTCTCCTAAAACCATAACTTTTTATTCTCAAAGCTTGTTTTTCTTTATAAGGTAAAAATAATACACTTAAACTCAGGTTTAAAAAAAACAAACAAATACCATAATGCCAGTAGTCACTAACATTGAGAAATAAACCTGCCAACCAGACTGGATGCTCACTCATATTTGTAGACCAGTACCTTTCCTCCATGGACCCAGTTCTACAGGGAAAAACACATCACAATCTGAAGCTTGTTGAGCACAAATCTAGAACCAGAGAAGTCAGTTTTATGATTCCAAAGATGCGCTAACACCATTCCTCAGTCTGGCTCTAGGAGAGCAGTCAGTGGGCCTACTTTGTGTCTCTTGACCCCTGAATACAATGCTAACTTTGTCTCCATTTCAGATTAAAATGATTATTTCTCCAGATCAACCAAAGAGTAAATTTACTCTCTAGGCAGGACCTCTTACATTTCTGTTTTGTGTGAGTGAGAATTAAATAATTTCACATGAAAGTTATATGGCATACAAAGTTTTAGTAGTGATTTTGTGGTAAGGTTAGTAGTAATTTTGAAAATGTGTGATACAGTCTGAGACTGGGTAAGCAATCTTCAGAGTTTTTTCAATCTTCATGAAGTTTGACATAAATTATGGTCCTGTGTGTGGAATGTCATTGATGTACATACTGGAACATACAGTTCAACATGCTGTTGTGAGCTGAGAGACTTTCAAAAGTTGATTGGTTTATTCTCCTGTCTCTAGGAAAATGATTCTCATACTTTTTTAACTATGAAAGGAGAGTAAGAATTTTAGTCTTATTTGATACTTCAAATTATAGCTAAAAATAAATGTCAAAACATTAGTTTTAGAATACCCATTTTTACTGCATGCTCTTGTGTCTATCTGTACTTCCCTCTCTAACTGAAAAGATCACAGGAATTTAGAGCATTGGTATTAACTAAAACACCACCAGAAATTAAAGTACTGCTGAAATTATAAGTCAGTAGAATTCACCAAAATATCAAGAAGTATGGTTTACTATACAGAATATCCTTATAATCTTCATATGTTTTATCATGTTTTTGTCTCACATATAGTGATTTAATTGTTCAGTATTTCATTTTTTTCTGATAAAAACACAGTGACCTCATATCTTTGGAACTTAATTTTGTGAGTGTTCTCATATATACACACAAACATGTGCTTGAATCATCCATGTTTGGTTTTATTTGTGTTTATTTTCTCACTAGTTTCCTGGGATTTAAAGTTTTCAATCTCCTTTGACTATTCTGATATTCATAAGTATAGAAAAATATTAGCAGTTCCATGTTTATGTAGGGAGTGTGCATTCTTCTTAACCTAAAAGTTTCTAAGATGAGTTGGCTTTGCTGCAGCGAGAACACACAGATGCCTTACGCCACCTGAATGTGATGCTGATGTTCACTGAGTGTGTGCTGGACCTGACTGCTGTGAGGGGCGGGGACCCAGAGCTCTACACGTCAGCCGTCTCCTTGTACCAGATTCAGGAGAGTGTGGTTGTGGACCAGATCAGCCAACTGAGTAAAGACTGGGGGTAGGTGCCTCCTTTGTCATTTATTTTGAGGTTCTTTATGCTTTCCACAAATTCAAGTCTGAGATAGAGGACTTGTCATGCACTGAAGATCATATCTCATTATTAAAAGCTTCAAGGAAGTATTTCATTGGCTCCATTTCACTACATGAGCCAAGACCTGGGGATTCTGCAGCACTAGTGTTGCCTTTCCCTGTGAAGTATACTGGTCAAGATATTTCATGATAAAGATATCATTTTGATTTTTATCTGAGTGTATCATTGTATTCAAAGTACACACATCTTTTCCCATGCCAAAACTTCCCCCTTCAGGAGTTATTTGTGCATTAAAAATGTCAAAGAGAATGATACTCCCTTAGAAAGGCTATTTTAATGATGCTGTGATGTATAAAGATCCAAGTCTGGCATATGGTTCACTGGATAACCCTTTGCTTGTTGTCTTCTGGCACAGGCGGGTGGAGCAACTGGTGTTATACATGAAAGCTGCGCAGCTGCTAGCAGCATCGCTGCATCTTGCTAAAGCCCAGATCAAGTCCGGGAAACTGAGCCCATCCACGGCAGTGAAAGAAGGTATGTGTGGAGTGCTTGAGCTGCCCTCTTTCCTCTTACAACTAAGAAAGTTTTTGATGAGGTGTCACTGTTACTGCATATTCTTAAATGGGAAAAAAAGCTGGCTTTTCTGTTTTTCTTGTTTTTGCCACTTAATTGATACCGAGAGCAAAGTGCTTTATTCTGTCTTTTAAATAGAAAGAGAGAGCATTTGAAAGAATCTGATTTTCAGTGATTTTAAAATTTTTATTTTTTGTTTGTTTTGTATTGTTGACACTATTACAGATGTCCCCTATGTCCCCTCTTAACCCTCCCCCACCCAGCTCCCACCTTCCTTCTGGCCTTCACCACATTGTTATCTGTGTCTGTGGGCTATGCATATATGTTCTTTGGCTAATTTCTTCTAGTCTCCCCCACCCCCCTCCCCTCTGCAATCTGTCAGTCTGTTCTGTATATCCATGCCTCTGGTTTTCTTTTATTCGTCAGTTTATTTTGTTCATTTGATTTCACATATAGTGAGATCATATGGTATTTGTCTTTCTCTGACTGGCTTATTTCACTTAGCATAATGCTCTCCACATCATCCATGCTGTTGCAAATGGGGAGAGGTCCATCTTTTTACAGCTGTGTAGTATTCCACTGTGTAAATGTACCACAGCTTTTTTTTATCCACTCATCTACTGATGGGCACTTGGACTGTTTCTGGATCTTGGCTACTAGAAATAACACTGCTATGGACATAAGGGTGCATATATTCTTTCTGATTGGTGTTTGGGTGTTTTGGGGTATATTCTCAGAAGTGAGGTTCCTGGGTCATAACACAGTTCCATTTTTAATTTTTCAAGAAAATTCAACACTATTCTGCACAGCAGCTGCACCAGTCTATATTCCCACCAATAGTGCATGAAGTTCCCTTTTCTCCACACCTTGTTGACACTTGTTTGTTGATTTATTGATGATAGCCATTCTGACAGGTGTGAGGTGATATCTCAATGTAGCTTCAATTTGCATTTCTGAGGATTAGTGATATTGAGCACTTTTTCATGTCTGTTGGCCATCTGTATGTGTTCTTTGGAGAAGTGTCTATTCAGGTCCTTTGCCATTCTTTTTAACAAGATTGTACTTATTTATTTTTAGAGGGGAAGAGAGGGAGAAAGAGAGGGAGAGAAACATCAATCAGTTGCCTCTCACACACGCCAGACATGTATCCCGACTGGGAATAGAACTGGCAACCTTTTGGTTTGCAGGTTGGCACTCAGTCCACTGAGCTACACCTGCCAGGGTTCTTTGCCCATTTTTTAATTGGCTTGTTTGTCTTTCTGGTGTTGAGTTGTGTGAGTTCTTTATATATTTTAGAAATTAACCCTTTATCAGATAAATCTCTGACAAGTATATTCTCCAATACAGTGTATTCCCTTTTAATTTTGTTGATGGTTTCTTTTGCTGTGCAGAAGCTTTTTGGTGTGATATAGTCCCATATCTTTGTTTTTTCCTTTGTTGCCCTTGCCCTAGGAGATACATTACAAAAAATATTGCTGCAAGACATGTCTGAGGTTTTACTGCCTGTTTTTTTTAGGATCTTTATGATTTTGCAACTTATATTTAAGTCTTTTGTTCATTTTGAGTTTATTCTTGTATATTGTGTAAGTTGGTTGTGTTTTTTATTTGCATGTACCAGTCCAATTTTCTCAACACCATTTATTGAAGAGAGTTTTTACTCCATCGTGTGTTTTTGCTTCCTTCATCAAATACTAATTGACCATATAGCCATAGATTTATTTCTGGGCTTTGGGCTCTGTTCTATTGATCTATATGCATATTCTTTTGATTGTTTAATGTCACTTTCCTTAAATCAGCAGAGAAGTTATTTGTCAATGTGACTTTATGTGTGGAGGAAAATTAAAATTTATTCTTTCAACTTTTTTTCAGTTGTGAAAAATCTTAATGAACGATACAAGTTCTGCATCACCATGTGCAAGAAACTTACAGAAAAGCTGAATCGCTTCTTCTCTGACAAGCAGAGATTTATTGATGAAATCAACAGCGTAACTGCAGAGAAACTCATCTATAATTGTGCTGTAGAAATGGTAACCCTTTTTAAGGTTTAAAACTGGATAATGTTACTTATCTGGATGAGTATCTTTTGAATGAAATACCTATTTGATATTATCTAGATCTTTAAAAAGTGTTTATGCTCTACCACTCCCCAGGTTTCCAGTATTGTGATTGCCTCTTACTAATCTTGGACTTAATATTTAAATAACATATTAAGTACTGTTGGTACCACATTTGGTAAAATTCGGTTATTCCTCTTAAAAATTTCTAACATTTGATAGTTAGCATCTAAAAGCTTTAGCTGGGTCTATTTCTGCATTTTCTACAACATACGAAATTGTGGCTTGATAAACATTAGAAAAAATACAGTTAATCCACAAAAATTCATAGGCTCAGATTCCTGAACTGAAATCTACTTTTATAATTGTCTGGTTATACTATTGGAAATAACTTGTTTTCCATTTCATAGGGGGAAAATTGCTCTAAAGTATAGATGAAATCAGGGCCTGTTAAAGAATAGTGGTAAGCAGGAAAAATTATTGACCCATCTTATTTTTACCACATTTTTTTTTATTTTAGTCATTGTTCAGGTACAGTTTTCTGCCTTTTATTCCCATTCCAGCCCACCCACCCATCCCTCCCCACCTCTCTCCCATTTCCAACTCCCCTAGTTTTTGTCCATGTGTCCTTTATATTTGTTCCTGTAAACCCTTCCCATTATCCCCTGAAATTTCCTCTTCTTTCCCCTCTTGTCACTGTCAGCCTGTCCACTATTTCAGTGTCTTCGACTATATTTTGCTTGTTTCTTTGTTTTGTTGTTTAGGTTCCTGTTAAAGGTGAGATCACATGGTATTTGTCTTTCATTGCCTGGCTTATTTTGCTTAGCATAATGCTTTCCAGCTTCATCCATGCTGTTGCAAAGGGTAGGAGCTCCTTCTTTCTTTCTGCTGCATAGAATTTCATTGTGTAAATGTACCACAGTTTTTTGATCCATTCGTTTACTGATGGGCACCTAGGTTGCTTCCAGCACTTACCTATTGTAAATTGTGCTGCTATGAACACTGGGTTGCAAAGGTTCTTTTGTATTGGTGTTTCAGGGTTCTTAGGATATAGTCCCAGCAGTGGAATTGCAGGGTCAAAAGGCAGATCCATTTTTAGTTTTCTGAGGAAGTTCCATACTGTTTTCCATAGTGGTACCAGTCTGCATTCCCACCAACAGTGCACCAGGGTCCCCTTTTCTCCACAGTCTCTCCAACACTTATTATTTGTTGCTTTGTTTATGATGGCCATTCTGACTGGTGTGAAGTGGTACCTCATTATGGTTTTAATTTGCATCTCTCTGATAGCTAGTGACATTGAGCATCTTTTCATGTGCCTCTGAATCCTATGTATGTCTTCCTTGAAGTGTCTGTTCAAGTCCTTTGTCCATTTTTCATTTGGGTTGCTTGTCTTCTTAGAGTGGAGTCATGTAAGTTCCTTATATATTTTGGAGATTAAACCCTTGTCTGAGGTGTCATTGGCAAATATGTTTTCCCATACAGTTGGTTCTCTTTTTATTTTAATACTGTTTTCTTTAGCCATCCAGAAGCTTTTTACTTTGATGAGATCCCATTTGTTTATTTTTTCCTTTATGTCCCTTGCTCTAGGAGACATGTCAGTAAAAATGTTTCTGCATAAAATATCTGAGATTTTCCTACCTATGTTCTCCTCTAGGACTTTAATGGTGTCATGGTTTATATTTAAGTCTTTAATCCACCTTGAATTTTTTTGTGTATAAGGTGTAAGTTGGTGCTCAAGTTTCATTGTTTTGCACGTAGCTGTCCAGTTCTCCCAACACCACTTGTTGAAGAGGCTATTGTCACTCCATTTTATGTTGCTGCCCCCTTTGTCAAATATTAATTGACCGTAGAGACTTGGGTTTATTTCTGGGCTCTCTGTTCTGTTCCATTGGTCCATGTGCCTGTTTTTATGCCAGCACCAGGCTGTTTTGATTACAATGGCCTTGTAATACAGTTTAGTATCAGGTATTGTGATCCCTCCTACTGTACTCTTCTTTCTCAAAATTTCAGCAGCTATTCGGGGTCGTTTATGGTTCCATATAAATTTTTGAAGTGTTCTATGTCTGTGAAATAAGCCATTGGTACTTTAATAGGTATTGCATTGAATGTGTAAATTGTGTTGGCTAGTATGGATATTTTGATGATGTTAATTCTTCCAATCCATGAACACGGTATATGTTTCCATTTGTTTGTGTCTTCCTTGATTTCTTTCTTCAGTGTTGTATAGTTTTCTGAATACAGGTCTTTTACCTCTTTGGTTAGGTTTATTCCTAGGTATTTTATTTCTCTTTTTGCTGTATCGAATGGGATTTTTTTCTTGATTTCTGCTTCTGCTGTTTATTGATGGTGTACAGAAATGCCTTTGATATTGACTCTGGATATTGACTTTGTATCCCGCTGTTTTGCCAAATTCATTTATTAGGTCAAGCAGTTTTTTGGCCAAGTCTATAGGATTTTCTATGTACACTATCATGTCATCTGCAAACAGTGACAGTTTTGTTTCCTCCTTTCCGATTTGGATGCCTTTTACTTCTTTTTCTTGTCTGATCACTGTGGCTAAAACTTGCAGTACTATATTGAATAGAAGTGGTGAAAGTGGACAACCTTTTCTTGTTCTTGATCTTAGTGGAAAAGATTTTAGTATTTGCCCATTGAGTATGATGTTGGCTGTAGGTCTCTCATATATGGCCTTTATGATGTTGATGAATGCTCCCTCTATTCCCACTTGGCAGAGTGTTTTTATCATAAATGGGTGCTGTACCTTACCAAATGTTTTTTCTGCATCTATTGATATGCTCATGTGGTTTTTGTTTTTGCTTTTGTTTATGTGATGTATTACATTTACCAATTTGCGAATATTTTGCCATCTTTGCATTCTTGGGATGACTTACTCATGATGTATGATCTTTTTAATGTATTGTTGGATGCGGTTTGCCAATATTTTGTTGAGGATTTCAGCATCTATGTTCATCAGCGATATTGGCCTGAAGTTTTCTTTCTTTGTTGTGTCTTTATCTGGTTTTGGGATTAGGATGATGTTGGCCTCATAAAAAGAGTGTGAGAGTCTTCCATCTTCTTGGGTTTTTTGGAATAGTCTGTGAAGGGATAGGGGTTAGCTCTTCCTTAAATGCTTTGTAGAATTCTCCTGTGAAACCATCTGGTCCAGGGCTTTTGTGTGTCAGGAGTTTTTTGATTACTGCTTCAACTTCTTTTGCTGTTATTGGTCTGTTCAGGCTTTCTTCTTTTTCTTTATTGAGTTTTGGAAGATTATATTTTTCTAGAAATTTGTCCATTTCACCTAGGTTTTCAAATTTCTTGGCATACAGTTCTTCATAGTAATTTCTTACAATCCTTTGTATTTCTGTGGTATCAGTTGTAATTTCTCCTCTTTCATTTCTGATTGTGTTTATTTGGGTCTTCTCTCTTTTTTTCTTGATGAGTCTGCTTAAAGGCTTGTCAATTTTGTTTATCTTTTCAAAGAACCAGCTCCTGGATTCATTGGTCCTTAGAATTGTGCTTTTAGTCTCTATGTCATTTAATTCTCTGTGATCTTGATTATTTCCTTCCTTCTACTTGTTCTGGGCTGTCTTTGTTGCTGCTCCTCGAGTTCTTGTAGACGTAGGGTTAGGTTGTTTGTTTGAAATGGTTCTGTCTTTTTTATGTATGCTAGTATCATTATGAACTTCCCTCTCAGAACTGCTTTTGCTGTGTCCCTTAGGTTTTGGGTTGTTGTGAGTTCATTTTCATATGTTTGCAGTAACTTTTTGATTTCTTCCCTAATTTCATTCTTGACCCATTCATTGTTTTATAGCATGCTATTTAATCTCTGATTTTGAGTGTTTTGCACTTTTCTGCTTGGGGTTGGTTTCTAGTTTCAGTCCCTTGTGGTCAGGGAAAATGCTTGGTATGATTTCAATTTTCTTGAATTTGTTGATGATTGTTTTGTGTCCTATCATGTGGTCAATCTTTGAAAATGTTCCATGTACATTTGAAAAGAATGTGTATTTAGCTTCTAAATACACATGGGATGTATGTGGGATTGAGGGTTCTGTATATATTAGTTAAGTCCATTTCATCTAGGGCATTGTTCAATGCCACAATATCTTTGTTGATATTTTGTTTGGAAGATCTATTTTTGACAGTGGGGTGTTAAAATCTCCTACTATAATTGTGTTGCTGTCAATATCTTTCTTGAAGTCCTCTAAGATTTTCTTTACGTATTTGGGTGCTCCTATGTTGGCTGCATGTATATTTACAATGTTTATGTCTTCTTGGTGGATTCTTCCCTTAAGTATTATGAAGTGACATTCTGGGTCTCTCTTTATGACCCTTTTTTGGAAGTCTGTTTTGTCTGATATGAGTATTGCTACTCCAGCTTTTTTTTCCTATCCATTTGCTTAGAAGATTTGTTTCCAGCCCTTCACTTTCAGCCTGTGCAGGTCTTTTATCCTGAGGTGGGTCTCTTGTAGGCAGCATATGTGTGGGTCATGTTTTCTTATCCATTCAGCTATTCTGTGTCTTTTGATTGGAGCATTTAATCCATTTACATTTAAGGTTATTATTGATAGGTACTTGTTCATTGCCATTTATGTACCTGTGTTCCTCTTTCTCTCTCTCTCTCTCTTTCTGTCTCTTTTCCTTCCTTACCTTAAAGCAGTCCCTTTAGCATCTCTTGCACAGCTGGTTTGGTGGAGGTGTATTCTTTTAGACTTCGTTTGTCTGGGAAGCTCCTTATTTGGCTTTCTATCTTGATTGAGAGAGAGCCTTGTTGGGTAAAGTAGCCTTGGTTGCAGGCCTCTGGTTCTCATTACTTGGAATATTTCTTGGCATTCTCTTCTGGCTTGGAGCATTTCCATTGAGAAGCCAGCTGCTAGCCTTATTGGGGCTCCCTGGTATGTTACTTCCTGTTTCTCCCTTGCTGCTTTTAAGATTCTCTCTTTGTCTTGAAATTTTGCCATTTAATTTTGATTTGTCTTGAGGTGGGCCTCTTTGGGTTCCTCTTGATTGGGACTCCCTGTGTTTCCTGGGTTTGTGTGACTTTTTCTCTCATCAAATTAGGGAAGTTTTCCATCATTTTTCAAATAGGTTTTCTATCCCTTGCTCTTCTTCTCCTCCTTCTGGCTTCCCTATTATAAGGATATTATTACATTTCATATTGCTTTGCATTTCTCTTAATCCCTCTTTATTCTTTCTGAGCCTCTTTTCCTTTTCTTGCTCTTTCTGGGTGTTTTTTCAACTTTGTCCTCCAGCTCACTGATCTGATCTTCTGCTTCATCGATCCTGCTTTTCATTCCTTCTGCTGTGTTCTTCAGTTCAGATAAGATAATGTGTTCTTCATTTCTTCTTTCCTCTTGGCATTGTTGATAGTTTCCATTTCCTTTTTTAAGTTGACATAGTTTGCAGTGAGTTTGGGGTAGTTTCCCTGCAGTTTGCGGTAGCTCATTGTGAGCTCATTGAGCTTCCTCACAATAATTTCTTTCAAGTCACCATCTGATAGTTGAGTTGCCTCTGTTTCATTTAGCATTCTTTCTGAGGCTTCTGTCTTTCCCTTCATTTGGGGATTGTTTCTTTGTCTTCCCATTGTTCGTAAGACTCTTCTTGTTAGCCTCTGTTTCTTAAATTGATCTGTTTTGGTTCCCTGTGTTTACGGTGTAAACTTCTGTCGTAGAATGCCTTGAGATTCATTGGTGCAGTCTCCTTCGGGTTTCCTGGTGTTCACAGCTTCTCCCTTCTCTTTTTTGTGATCAGTTGGAGGAGTAAGGTAAAATGGTTTAAGACAGCAAGAGAGTATTCTATATTTCCAGTAGCAGCCAGTAGAGAAGAGATAGGAGATCCTTTGGCTACGTATAGTGTTAACTGTGATCTTTCGCCCCACTAGCCACGTTTTAGAAAGGATGGGAAGAAGATAAGACTCTTATTGGGGAGGAAAAGATTGTGAGTTGGATCTAGAAAGCAGTGAGGCTGTGGGACGGTCAGATTCTGAAGTAGAGTGGGAGTAAAGAATAGTAAATAGGAGTAGTGTTTAATAGAATAGAGTTAACCACAAGAATAATAGAGTTCTGGAAACCTTGAAGTTGGCTGAGATCTGGGAGGGATGTTGTGTAGTATTTCCAATTGTATTGAATATGTCTTATTTATAGTAATATTAGAGCAACAATCATATGGCAGAGTCTATGAGATCTAGATAACAAGAACAGGGAGTATAGAACCTTGAGTAGTGTACTAACAGAACACAAATGAAGGACAGTAAATTAGCAGTACACTATGAATGAGATAACAGGGGAAACTTATCAAATGATACAGTGTAATCAGCCAAGCAAAGACTATAGAGAAAGAAGAGGAATACCAAAATACTATTAAAATAAGAAATGTAAGAAAAATGAAAAAAGATGATACAAATTTGCAGTAACTTGCAGGTTCAAAAAAAAAAAGCAGAAGATAGAATGAAGGAGAGATAAATTTGGAAAGGAAGGAATAACACTAGGATGAAAGGAAGAGAAACATAAGGAATTGAGAGATAAAAAAATAATAAACATTAAAAAATAGAAAGTTACTTTAAAAAGATAAACTCAAACATAAAAAAAAACAAAATCTCAAACAAAACAAAACAAAATGTCAAAAAAAACCAAAAAAACACCTCTTGTTGGTTTCTAACTGGCCAAACCAATTTTTCTGGTCTTGCTGGCTTCAGCAGGCTGAGGGGGGATTGGAATGCTTTTCACTCTTCCCAGTCAGAATTCAGTCAGTCTCTCGAGTACTGTCCCCAGGGCTATCCACGCCCTCTTCCCAGAGGTGATCCAGTGCCTCTCCACAGGACCCTGGGTGTGGGTCTGGGCGCTCCCAAGCTCATTCACAGGAGCTCACCACAGGGGGCTCCTGGGCTTCGGGATCCCGCAAAGCACCCTCAGATGTCTTTTCCAGGTTCATGGTTAACCCGAGGGAGTGCGCACTTCACAGTGTAAGCTCCGGGGATCTTGAGGGGGTGCACAGTTCCCCCAAGTTCACCGCAGTGGGCTCCAGGTTCCCGCAATCACCCGTGCCCTTTCCGTGTTCAGGGCTGTGGGGTCTGGGTCTTCCACAAAATCACACTATCTCCGGGTTGGGGGTGTGGGCCCACGGCCAGGCCAGGCCACCCTTGGTTGCTCAGGCTGGGGCACTCACTCTTCCCAGGGCTATGCGTGGGTGCTCATAGCCTCTGTGTGATTGTCTCTCAGCCCTCACTCCTCTCTCTGTGCCTTCAAGCAATAAGACTTCCCCCGGTGCTGCTCAGTCCTTGTTTGGCGTTTGGTGGGGAGGGAGCAGTTGACCCAGCTCTTCTCCCGAGTGCCCTGAGGCAGGCCGAGGAGCAGCAGGCCTGGGGCCTGCAACCTTCCTGGGGCCCGCGCTGATTCCTGGGCCCTTCTTATCGTGAAGCAGTCTCCTTACCATCTGGTTTTTCAATGTCTGCTATAATTTTTGATGTCCTATTTTCATAAATGTTGTGATTTTGTTGGCCCCCTGCTCTGTTCCTCTGAAGATCGGCCAGTTTCTCTCCCATGCGTAGGGGGAAGGGAAATCTGCTTTCTCCTACCGCACTGCCATCTTGCTCCCATTTTTACCACATTAACATAGACCTCCCTTCTTTCCCCCGATTTGCTCTTTTGCTTTGTACTGTTATATTACACCCTTGGACTTAATTTTGAAAGCCATTACAATAAAAATCATATGAAAACAACTTTGGAATGTAAACTGTTGGCATTAATAATATGCATTGTATCAGTCTATACTGAGTCAAGACTTCATATGATAATTGTTTTTTATCCTCACTCAAGGACATGCTTATTGATTTTAGAGAGAGGGAAAGGGAGGGTAAAAGAGAGGGAGAGAAACATCCATGTGAGAGAGAAACATTGATTGGTTGCCTCTTACAGGCACCCCGACTGGGGATCAAAACTGCAACCTAGATATGTGCCCTGACCAGGAATTAAACCCATGACCTTTCAGTTTATGGGGCAGTACTCCAACCAACTGAGCCACACTGACCAGGGCAATAATTTTTTTGTAGAAGTTGTACCAGGAAGAAGGTCCTCTCAAAAGGAATTATGGTGCTTCTTTCTCGTCTGAGAAAAAGAGCCATGTAACTTTAATAAGTCCCTTGTTTTGCCTTGGCTGCTTAGCAAGTTTAGAGATATTACCACTTAAGTTTAGTAACTTATTTCTTCTTCCTTTCCCTGACTCTTATTTTCTATATTCATGTCATTTATTTTATTATAAGTGTCTTTAAATTATTTTTTGAAGAAGACAGCATATTGACAAGTAAATTAGGAAACTGGATTACTGACAGTCCTGACTTTTAATGATTACAGAGAAAAACAGAATGCTATTGGGGAAACTCAAATACTCATAACCTTGTGAATAATACTACTGTCCCCTAGTTTTGGAAAGCCCCCACCTACCTTTTGCATCACTTAGCTCACTCCTATTACATCTTCATGACTGTCCCTAACGTCATTTCCTGGAGGTCTTCCCTACCCTTCCTCTCCTTCTGTTACCTCTGTGCCCTCTGGGGCTTCCTCCTAGTGTACCATGTCACCCTTGCAGGCCTGTCTCCCCCAGACTGTGAGCTCCTTTGTGTGCTCAGTGAAGATCCCTGAGTGAGTGAGTGAATATACCAGACAGTCATTTAACTAAAAGACACAGCTGAGAACTGACTTTTAACACCATTTAGTTATTTTATTGTAACAAAATCTACTCTAATGAAATGCCAGCTTACCCTAGTGTGAAGGTGTTTGTTTAACATAAGCCATAGAAGAGCCAATTTAGAAGTGTAAATTCCATGAATGTCTTATCCTTCCTCAGTCAGAAATGTCTGAGGATAAGAAGGCTATGTTTGAATGCAGAATCTCTTTTGTCAGGAAGCTCCTTCTTTATATCGCTCATCCGATGAATCTCTTATCTTTTAAGTTTTATCTAGTTTGGTAGACTGTAATCATTTTTTCAAAATGTGTTAGTTTTATAGATTCCACTTAAAGCTACCTTGCCCAAATGGATTAGTATTTTCTTGGAAAAGCTGAGCATCTCCTTTTTGTTGACTGGCTTCAGGTTCAGTCTGCAGCTCTGGACGAGATGTTCCAGCAGACTGAAGACATTGTCCATCGCTATCAGAAGGCAGCCCTGCTTTTGGAAGGCCTAGCTAAGATTCTCCAGGACCCTGCAGATATTGAAAACATACACAAATGTAAGTTGACTTAGCAGTGTTTCCCACACAGGTACAGTAGGAAGAGCTTGGCACTGGGAATCACACTGCCTGGGTTTGAAGGTTGGTTTTCCAATCTTGGGCAAATCACTTCACCTTTCTGTGGTCTCAGTTTCTTCTTCCAAAAGATAAGGGAACAATGCCTGCTTTGCAGAGCTGTAGTGAGGATTAGAGATAATACTTGTAAAGCACTCATGGCTTTTGTCCTCACTCTTTAGATTTCTGTACTGCCCTACTGTGTTGGTGTGTGCGTACACAGAGAACCTTGTTTTTATTATTAAATAATAACATGAAATTATCTTAAGTCTCGTGGGCTTAGTGACTGAAGAATCCCAGGAAGACCCTATGTGCTTCATATTTGGTATAGATAGAATGGAGGTTGATAGGATACCAGCATGATCTCATCACTGGTCAGGTATGAGCACAGTGATGTGGTTTTTGGGGAGGAGGTGAAGGATCTGTTGGAGTATATGTGGTCACACCACATTCTGCAGAGCCACAAGAGTTGGCAGGTCTAAAATTATTTGCAATTGTTTGTTCTTTATTTGCTGTGCTAATCTAAATTTTACCCATGTGCAGCACTAAACTACAAGTCATATCCTAGCAATTACCAGACAAAAAGAAGAAAAAGTATTCAGAACTGTTAACTCTGGGGCAAAATAGAACAGAGATGAGGATGTAGGTAGAGTGAGTGATTTTTTAATCAGTTTTTCTTTCCTTGGTTTTGAAAATATAAATGATCTTTATTATGATTTTAATTTATTTTATTTGTAGATAAATCTAGTATTGAAAGAAGATTGTCGGCACTCTGCTATAGTTCTTCCACAATGTGAGCGGCGGCAGGCCTGTCCCATGGCCCCTTGGTGAGGGGTATAAGGTGACGTGTTAGGGGTACAGCTTGGGTTCTGTTGCCCCATCCCCAGGAAACTAGTTTCTTACCTGGTGACAACCAAAGAACAAGCAGTGATCTCAAAACAAAAACAATCCAAAAAGTACATATGTGTAGGAAAATCTGCCTTATTGGAGAAGCCACCACTTTCCTTTTCCATTATAGAAGCAGAAGTAAGAGTATTCCACTTGGCTGGCTCTCAGCTTGAACTTGGTAAATAAATGTACCTTAGAACTAGAGTTATCAGTACATTTATTCTTAAGGAAAATTAAGAATGAAACAAGTGAGTAGCTCTCACTCAGTTCACCAGAGCAATGTGTGAAATTCCACATGTTTACTGAGGTATAAAAAAAGACAACTCCATCTCATCTGGGCAGTTTGATACTTGGGGTAAGTTTGAATCTGAGCATGCATCCTTAAACAGCTCAGGAAGACGGAACCTGAGGAGAGACGAAAGATGGGTCTTAGAAGGACTTCTGAAATGTTCCATTTGACCTGATGCGGACACTTATTAATCTTCCAGATCTTTCATATATTGCACTAATTTATTAAAACAACTCTGTATTGGACTTTGCAATTTAAAACTAACTGAGGCACAATGGACTTGTTTTGAAAATATTTTACTTGATTATATACACACACTGTTTCCAGAATTCACATGTAATCTCTGGTGGGCTTTTCAATGGTAAAAATTTGTGTTCATGTGAATCTTTGCATTTTTTAACCTATTCATCTATCTATACCCACAGATTTTCTCAGTGATATTTTTGAGTTGCCGGTTATTGGCTTTTGGTTGCGTTTGTGTGTGTGCATGCAGGATGCTCATTGATGCCTGTGACTTCTGGGTTTATTAAAGGCTAGGTTTGGTTTATTTAAGCAGTATTAGAAAAAATGTCAATCAAGGGATACCCTCAAGAATTCTAATAGGACCAAATCAAAGTTGGTGATTTAAAGGCTTGTTAATGATGCAGAGTTTGTACATGAAATTAGTGAAAAGTGAGATTTGTTTTCTCTTAGGAAAATGGGCAGCTTTCTGGCCTAAAATGTATTTTTCGTGTTAATCCTGATGGTTCACCAAATAACTAGTAGTGGAGAATGTGGACAGTTAGCATCCCTCCAGAAATGTTTCCTAGGTTGTATATTATTTGTTTCTTTTATTTACCTGCTTGAATACTTGAATAAACGATTCTTCAGTTTTAATCCTTTTATTTTAATCCTTTTAGATAATAAATCTGAACTCTGACAAATTACATAGAAACTCTTCGGCATTAATCTAATTTTAGTGTGCTGATAAAAACAAAAACATAGTTTTTCTTTTCTTTGATAATGTAATGTAATTTTACCTTATTTATCTGTATAAAATTCCAGCAGTTAATTTGAACATTTATTTATATGATGTTTGTGTATTTTTAGGTCTTTAATACAGTGTTTCTACCTCTCATTTGTAACTGCATGCATTATTCTTGAAACTAGGTAAAATTCACCAGATTGTTGTATAGTAAATAGCCTTTTTATAACTGCCTATACAGATGTAAATTAAGGTAAAATAAACCTGACAAAGTGTTTCTAGGGTAAAGCTGGGTTCATATCACATGGCTTTTCAAGCCTGAGCCTTCCTCAGTGCATTTGGAAGCTCTGCCCCGCCCCAGGGTGTCAGGCTTCAGTGGCTATTGCAGTGCAGGAACAGTTTGTGTGCAGTAGGGACTCCTGCCCCTCTGCTGGGCTGAGAGGCTGAGGGCACTGTGTTGTGTAACTTGTTAGGTGTGCAGTTACTTCCCAGGCTGTCTCAGTTCATCCTCTAGGGCATGGGTTCATTCTCGGCCTTCCTCCCCTCTCCAGTTTTTTTGTTTTTGTTTTTGTTTTGTTTGTTTGTTTGTTTTAATTAAACATAGAATGAAATAGGGTCACAGCCAGCAAGTGATGGGTCTGCAGTCTGGTAACTAGGGGGAGCTATGCCAGGCTTTGTGACTTCCAGGTCCTTTCTTCTTCTGCTTGTGTAAGAAAGGTTTTGTGGTAGATAGTGTTTGTGAAACTGAAGTCTCAACAGCAGAGAAGATCAAACTGCAAAGTCATGAATAATGGTTCTGATTATGCTTCCATTATCAAGGCTAATTGTTTAAGAGATTTTGCCTTGATTATAACAATAATAAACACTTTGTTTCCATTAGTATTTTTTAATTTCATATCATCTCTTTCATAATGTAGAAATTGACCAGTTCATATATTTATGGGTTGGCCACCTACATTCAAGCCATAACCCAGAAAGTTACTGACCACACAAATGTAAACCAATGAATTTTCTGATTGGCTGTATTCCTGCAGTAAGGATTTGCTTTACCTACACTGGTGCTAGACCTGGTGGTTCCCATAGTCCTAAGCTCCCCACCCCCACCAAGAGGAGAAACCAGAGCAGCAGGTGTTCTGTCCTGGCTGTAGTGAGGGACAGGAGCTGGGAAAGGAGCTTACCATTGGGGGTGGGTGGCCTTGGTCTCCACAGGGTAGTAAAGAGGATGTTGAGCTGGACATCATGGCCATGAGGTCATTGACTCGGGTATCAAAAGAATTCTTGAGGTGCTGAAGTGATTTGAGCATAGGCCTTGGAGGAGGACTTCCCACTTTTAATGTATCCTTTCCCCTCATAGTTTCTGTAAGCAGTCTTAAATTTTTTTCTGGATAAAGCAAGGTGATGTGTTCTCTCAGAGGATTGCCTGCTGATGGGCTTGACAGGGAGTAGCTGCTGCTGAAGACCTGCTATCATCTCTCCATTAATAGGTGCATCTGAGAAGTGTCTGTGCTACCACTGTGCGGCCTGGAGACAGTTCATGTCCGGATGACGTACTCCTGAATCTTCAGCCATGGAAGCTCTTGGGCCTACCCAAGTCTCTTCCTTGGCTGTTAAAGCTCTGTAAAAATGCTTTCTTTGGGAGAGGGGTCAAGGGGGTACTTCCTCACCTGCTACAGAAGAAATGGCACCATAAGTGATTTGCCTGGGAAAGCACTGCTCTGCGGGAAACTGACAGTTGTCCCCAAAAGCTCCACTTCAGCAGAAGAGGCAAAACCAAACCAGTAAAGGGCCGTTGTGAACTCAGTGACCATCATCCTGGAGAAAGAAACAGAAGCAGAGAGGCCGCTGACAGTGCAGCCCCACTATGTGCAAGGACCAGGACATCTGGACCCGAAAGAGGTGTGTCTGCACTCAGTGCAGGCATACCGAATCTGTGGGTGTTTTCCTTTTCAGAGAGGGCCTCTCAGTCCAGTTTTTAATGTGCCAGAGGTCTCGGTGCCTCCGAAGAGGGATCTGAGATGGGAGATTCTTCTGAAGTCTACAACCTGGGAGTTGCTAAGTGTATGGGGGTGTGTTAGGAAGAACTGATTCAATTTCCTTCTTAACCTGGTTGGCTGTCTCAGTGCTGCTCCCCACTGAGTCCCTCCCCTCTGGGGCCACCCTGCTCTGGGAGGGTTTTTTCACATCACTAGGAAAGGCCATCAGAGCCCTTATTTATGGAGAACTTCTGTCCATCCTTGGGCATAGTGGTGCACTTGGTCTGACTCCAGCTCTCCCATGCATTACTGTGTGTCTTTGGGTACACACCCTGACCTCTCTGTATCTGGCAAACCAGGGGAGGGCACAGCTCACACAGCCATGGTGAGAACAAAGCAAGTTAGTAAGTGTGAAGTTCAAACAGCCCCGAACCAGCACAGTAAGTCCTTGAGAGCGTCAGCTGTTGAAGTGGTGGTCCATCTGTAGCTCTTTGCTGTTTTGTTTTGGGGAGAGGTGATGAACAGTTTGTTTTGGTGGGGGAGCGGGTGGGGTTGAGGCAAAGCCTGGTTTCAGAGCTTACTGGAACCACATTTGCTTTAGCCAGACAGCTAAAGGACGCAGCTCCTTCCCCGGCCCACCCACCAGGCAGTCTGTTTTCAAGATATCCTTTACTTACCCTTTTAGGTCGACCTGGCAATTTTAACAAAATGTGTGTCAGTCTATTTATTACTTTGATTCTCATACCAACCCTTACATGCCTCATTTTACAGATGGAAAAAACTGACTTGGAGAGTAATTTTCCCAAGAGAAAGGCCACATGCCTAGATATGGTAGAAGCAGAGTACTGCAGGGGTTGGACTGCCAGACTGCTGGGCAGGAGGAATCTTGCTTCTCTTACATGGTGTCCCAGAGTGCCATGCCTGTGCACGTCTGGGTCCTTCTAGGAAGAGGGGAGCGAAGGCAGCTTTATGACATTTGGTATCCAGGTGCCTCCTGCTGGAGCCGTCTTGCAGGAACAGAAGGCAGCAGATGCCAAGAAGCAGATGAAGTCAGGAGCTTTGTGCAGCCCCCTTGGGGGGTGTGCAGTAGGAGTCCAAGCACAGTAGGTTTAAGAAACCACCCTTGAAACTATGTGAAAGGGCTTCTACGATGTGAATAAACTTGAGCCTTTGATGGGCCCACTTTACAGTTTTCTTGTTTGTTGCTGATATGCGCCAGTGAAATGGAATAGCAGGAGATTATCCAGTCCCAGGGGGAGTTGGGCTTCAACCCCATGTTTGCCCAGGGGCCTCGCAAGGGCCCTGGCTGCCTCCTGGGCCCAGTTCTTTCACTGATGGCTGGTCATAGATACAGACCCCTTCCCAGGAAGCTCCTTAGCCTGTCCTCACCATCGCTGTGCAGTCTCACACTCTCCACTTGGACTTGACCAGCAGAGAGTTCCATGCCAGCCCTTTCTGTGCACCAGGAGGAGGGTGGCATGCACAGCCTTTGTCTCAAACCAGCAGGCCCCAACCAGGTTGCTCCTTCTCCCCTTGCCTTCCTTGCCCTTTCCCATTTCAGCCCAGTCAGTGTGAGGGTCTTGATGTCCACAGGGTGGACATTAAGGGTGTGTCTGCAGGAGTAGCCATCAGTATTTGGGCTCCATCTCCTGCAGGGAAAGGTAGGGAGGAAGGTGCTGAGTTGGACAGAGGCATCTCCAGATGGCCTTTCCGTGGCTGTCCTTCTGGGCAATAAAATTGCTTCCTGCACACCTGTGCCCATTAGGGAGCAGCTACAGGAATCCTGCCATTGAGACTGCTGCTCTGCCCCAGCTGGAGGGTTTCTGTGAAGAGGACAGGCAAGTGTGCTGCACCATCCAGAAATAAACCAGGTGCAGGCCAATGGAGGAGCTATCATGAGGAGCAGAAGCTCAGGCGGCTGAGCTGGTACGCAGCACCATAAATTAAGGGTGCAAAGCAAACCCATGGTTTCTAGTGGAAGAAACCCAGGATGTTGGGAGCATGAATTTTTTTTTTCCACAATGCTTTTTACTATGAAAAAGTAGAAGCCCCATATACCTTTCCCCTATGGACGACTTCTCCAAACCTAAATATGATGAAACAATTCACAAAAGAAGAGATTTGAGTGCATGTCAAGTGTTTGAGATGATAACGGCAGGCATGTGCGGCTGTCCAACGGAGTAATAGTCTCCTTCCCTGTCGGTGGCTGGCAGTGGGAGTTGTCATAGGTGGGTGGAGAGGCCTTATGCTTAACTTTCTGCTCCATAATGTTGATACTATTTTCCACCATGAGCCCATTATAATGATGTAATTTTAAAATCAGGGTTTTCAGGTATAGGGAAAATTATAAAAAGCACCTAACCTGTTAGGAAAGGTATTTGCAGTAAATATAACAGATGAAGGGAGAGTAAAGTGTGGGGAAATCCTAGGAGAAAATAAGGAAATCCCCTTTGTTCCTGACCACTCCCCTCCCCCACCCCCCTGAATTAGAAGCCTTACTGTGAACAGCTGAATGCATGAGCCCCTGGCATGGGCACATCACGGGGCCCCACAATAACATTCTGAGTCTCCTGGCTCAGGACATGGAAGTAGATTTGAGAGCTCTTTGTGTCCTTATCCTCCCGGAACGCTTGTCCTTGTATCACCCTCCATGTGCGCTGATTATTGTGGGCCAGACTCTCAGCCTCTCGGCTTTGCTTTCCTCAGCTCTAAATGGAGATTGTATAGAATTTGCCTCTCCGGTGTACTGAGGTATTAAATGAAATATGAGTTCATGGGGAGGGCTCACACCAGTCCCTGACCCGTGAGCCCTGAGTGAGCACGCCATGGAAGATGAGGCATCAGCTGTACAGTGGGGCCTGAGGCCTGGGGACCCGGCCCTGTCTCTGCTGAGAGCATGTTTCTTCCTTCTGTCAGTCACACGCTGCTTTCTCTGTCACATTTTTTTCTGAGATGTGAACTCTCTTTTCCACCATGAATGTGCTCAAATATTTCTTAGGTTGGTCTTGTACACAGATCAACATTCATTAACTCATGAGGAAGGGTGATGAAACCTGTCAGTCAGAAAGGGTGTGAAAACAGGGCAGTGTTTGGAAAGCAGAATGCTTATTATGGTACGTAAACAGCTAATTGTAAAGATCACAGTTACAGGGTCATAAAAACATCTGTGTTCCTCTGTAAGGGGAAACCTGGGGCTGGATGGTCCAGGATGCTAGGTGTTTGCAGACTCTGCAGGGCCGAATAGTGTTTCAGATTGGAGACCACACTGCTGCACCTTAGTCAACTCAGCTGTTGTGCCTCAAAAAGCAGCCATGGACAGTACACACACAAAAATGGCTGTTCTAATTAAACTATTTACAGACTTTAAAATTTGTATTTAATACAATTTCCATATTTCATGAAAGAGTCTTTAAATTTTTTTCCATCCGTTAGAAAAAAATGAAAACCATTTTTAATGTGTAAGCCATGGGCTGGAGCTGGCATTAGATTAAAAGCAGGAGAGATGTGCAAGGTTCACATGGTAACAACAGAGATGTGGTGCCCACCAGCCCAGTGAATGTGAAAGTGGAAATGTCTATGGGTCAGAAGGACCAAACTAGTGACCATCTGCTTTTAAACAATTCATCAGACTGTTAGTAAATACACAATGCAAAACTTGCACCATTCTTGCCTTGCAACATGTTTTGCAGCAATTTTGTTTTTCTGGCTCTTTGACGAATGAGGTGCATCATTCCTACTCTTGCTGTGGGCCTTGAGTGAGTGGCCTCACCTGCCTGAGCCTCCTGTTTTCTTCATCCAAGAAAATCAAAGTAGTGCCTCCTAATACAGTTTTTGTGGGGAAAATGCCCTTTGCACATGGATTGGTACTTACAAAGTGTGCAGTACATTGTGATAGTTTTGCTTTCAATACTCAGAAACGCAGGGCTGTGTGTCCCCCACCATCTGTCTCTCTCCTGCATGTCTTTCAGCAAGTGCAAGCTTGGCCACTTAGAGCTGCAATTGTTCTACCCCCAGTGTGTGTGTGTGTGTGTGTGTGTGTGTGTGTGTGTGGCGCTTTGTCTGTCCCTGGGGCATTTCTCTGCCTCCACTCTGGCTCTGCCGCTCCTGCATCCAGCCCCTGGAGCCTCTTGCCTGTCCTTCAGGTGAGCTCAGGGAGGTCAGGGCCAGCACTCGCCCCCAGGGGGCTTAGCAAATGGTATTGACAGATTTGTGTTACTGGCCCCATGTGAATAGGACTTACTGCGAGGTGGGGGGGGGGCGGAATGGGTATTGTGGTAAAACACACAGAACACAAAAAACACTTGAATGTGTTCCGTTCAGGGGTGTTAAGCACATTGGCATTGTTGGGCTACCATCACTCCATCCAGACTGAAACTCGGAGCCTTCTTCACACTAACTGCCCACTCTCCTTTCCCTGCCCTGGCAGCCACCACCTAGTGGAACCATTCAGTATTTCTCTTTTTGTGACTGGGGTGTTTCACTCGGTCGAATTTCCTCAGGTTCACCCAGGTTGGAACATGTGTCAATATTCTTCCTTTTCAAGACTAAATAATTTCCCACTGTGTGGGTAGTGTGCAGACCGTTGGAAATGGGGCCATGCACGATGTAGGTGTCTCAGTGGTCCCAGGAGCAGCTGTCAGTCCCTGTCCAGGATCACCAGGGTTGGACATAGGTGAAAAATGGCATGTGCTTCAGTGGTGGGTCCCCTGAGGGACTCTGCCAGGTCTCTACCGCCCCCCCCCCCCATCTCCCAGGGCCTGTTCTGTGCCCTGTGAGCTGCTGAGACCTCTGTCCCCGGTGCGGGAGTGAAGGGCTTTGTCTATCGTCCAGCCATCTTTCAGCCACCTAAACAGAAAACTAGACACTGGAGAGCTGGGGAGTTGAAGGAATTGTGACCCTAAGGACACTTTCTCTTTCTTCCCCTAACCTCCCTGCAGTGGATTCCCCACCCTTGGAACCAACTGAGGGGCTCCTAGAGAGTTACTAAGGGGGGGGGGGGTGGCGTTTCATCGCCCCACTGGGATGTGTCCTCAGTCGGGAGACTTGCCAAAGAGGGACGGGGTGGGAGCCTCCGTTCCCCACTGGGCACCGACCGGCATGCGGCTCCTCTGGCTGTGGCATGCAGAGGACCCTATGGGGCGACCTTCCTGCTGCTACCAGGAGGCTGCTAGCTGGGTAGGGGACCCTGAAGGAGGATGCTGTAGAGGGCGTGGGCAGGAGCTGAAGGACTGCCGCGATCTCCCTTCCCGGACTGCGTGGTGCCGGTGCTGCGGGGCCCTGAGGGCCAACTTGGGTCACCCACTGTGGCCTGGCCGCTTCAGCCTGGCCAAAGGAAGGGTTTTGCCTCGGTGCCTCTTCTGCCGGCACCAGCACAGCGGGGGTGGGGGGGGTGGGTACGGGACGGCGGGACCCAGGCGACAGGGCTGTGGAGGGGGGTGAGATCCTGTCCCTGTCCTTGGCGTGTACCCAGGCTGGAATCAAAGTGTTAAATTCTTCTGGACGGAGATTTCGGGAGATTTCGGTACCGGCAATTGACCAGAAGTGATGGCAGCAGCTGGGAATGTTTGAAAGGATGGAAAATAAAGATTCCAGGAGGCGCCGCTGGAGGCAGTAATTGCAAACAAATTTAAAAAGCCATTTTGTATTCATACTTCACTGGTCCAAGCACTAGTGAGCTGGTGTTTTGCTTTCGGATAATTGTGGAAGAATGAGCATCTGAATCTGAGAGCAGGGAGTAAGAAGGGACGGGGTTGAATAGGGAGGTGGGAGAGCTGACAATGAACAGGGAAAGGGGAAGGAGTCAGGACCATCTGGGAGTAGAACAAGGTCAACAGACACCATAGAGCAATGGGAAGAATAACATCAAGACTTTCAGTCATCATTCTAAACAAGAGAGACTCATATATAAATAAAACCCCAACTGTACGTGATTGACAAGAAGTGTATGCAAAGCAGCATGATAGAGAAAGGCTGGAAATAATTAGGTGTGTGGGCAGATGTAAACAAAAATAAGACAGGACTGGTGATAACTTTAAGGTTAAAACGTGATGTGAAGAAGAAAAGCAAAAATTACAAAGATGAGTCATAAATCTGTATGAACGAAGCAAAATGATAGTTTTACACAAGGCAAGAGTATTAGAAGTATAAGGAGAGATTTCATGACACATCTCTCAG